CCCATAATGATCATACACTGCCCGACAAGAGAGGACCTCTCCCTCGGCTGCAAGGAACAGTGTTGCACTCTCTACTTATATGGATCCCGGGATTTAAAACCTTCTTGCCAAGAGAGGACCTCTCCCTTGGGGCGCCTGATAAAGTGGGCCATCGAGCTATTTGAGTTTGACATCCAGTACCAGTTGAGGCCCACGATCAGAGCAAGCTTTGGCAGATTTCATAGTAGAATGCACCTTCATCCGAACCCTTCACCAGCCCCCAGAAAATGATGAGAGGGATCACGTAAACGATGGGGCTCAACTTGGATTGAAGCTTTTCGTTGACAGCTCCTCCAATGCTAAAGGAAGCAGAGCAGGCCATCCTCCTCACCCCAGATGATGTTGCCCTGGAGTATAAGCTAAGGTTCGACTTTCCAGCATCAAACAACAAAGCCAAGTTTGAGTCCCTCCTCCCTGGTCTCTAGCTTGTTAGGGACCTTAGCTCCTCATACATCGAAGCCTTCAGTGGCTCTCAGTTGGTGGTGAATCAGGTGAACGACAAGTACGAGGCTAGGGAACGAAGTATGTCCAAGTACCTAACCAAGGTCTAGGATTTAGCCCGTTACTTCCAATGCTTCTCCCTGCAATGGGTCCCATGAGCTGAGAACGCACGAGCCGATGCCCTCTCCAAGTTGGCAAGTACCTTAAGCAGAACTCCTGGCTGGGTCGTGCACGTCGAGAAGCTACTTCGGCTTTCCATTGAAGAAGTCCAAGTACTCCCCATAGTGGCTGAACCTTCATGGATGGATCCCATCGTCAACTTCCTATCAATTGGACGATTGTCCGAAGACAGAAATGAGGCAAAGCGACTCAGATGACAGGCAACCCACTACACCTTGCTGGAAGGGAAAATGTACCGAAGATCCTTCACCTTGCCTTACCTCCGATGCCTTCATTTGGAGGAGGGCAACTATGTGCTACGAGAAATACACGAAGGCATCTGTAGTAATCATCTCGGTGGGAGAGCCGTAGCCCAAAAAGCCCTAAGGTAGGGCTACTTTTGGCCTACCCTCTATAGGGAGGCAGCTAGATTGGTGCAAAAGTGTGACCCATGTCAGAGGCATGCCAACTTATGCCACCGATTGGCCACCACTCTCTCAGCCCTTAATAGCCCATGGCCCTTCGCCAAATGGGGCATGGACTTCCTTGGCCCCTTCCCCATGCCACGGGGGAAGAAAGTACCTCGTTGTTATAGTAGACTACTTCACCAAGTTGGTGGAAGCCGAGACTTTGGCCCCCATCACGACACAAGCCATCCAAAATTTCTTTTGGAAAAACATCTTCAACCTACCTTACATGTTGGTCACTGACAACGGGAAGCAATTTAATGATGCCAAGTTCTGGGAGTGGTGCACCTCCCTCGGCATCAGGCAACAATACACTTCGGTAGGCTATCCTTAAACCAACAACCTAGCCAAGGTCACCAACAGGACAATACCGGATGGATTGAAAACCAAATTGGACCGAGCAAAAGGCCTATGGTCTAAAGAACTGAATAGTGTACTCTGGGCTTACTGAACTACGCCTCGGAAAGCCACGGGAGAAACTCCCTTTGGCTTAACCTACAGCACAGAAGCAGTAATCCTAACCGAGATCGGCCAACCGACACTCTGAGTTGAGGCATATATTGAAGCCGAGAATGATGAAGCCCTCAGAGCAAACTTAGATTTGCTGGAAGAAGCCCGGGAGCAAGTATAGATAAGAGTAGTCGCTTACTAGTAGCGAGTGACCCGCTACTACAACTCCACGGTAAATGAAAGACACTATCAAGAAGGAGACCTTGTCCTTAGAAAAGTCATGGTCCCCAAACCCGGAGTAGAGAGGCTGGGCCCCAACTAGGAAGGCCCCTACAGAACCAAGCGAGTCATCGGCCCCGATACTTTTCAACCGGAACACTTAGATGGAAGACCTATACCTTGGACATGGAACTCGGAGAACCTCTGGATGTACTACAAGTGATTGTAATATATTTTTGAAATTATTGATGAATGAAGCAAAGTTCTCTTCGTCTCAATGCTCAGTGCGTGTACCTACTAAATTCTTTACAACTCTTCAGCCTCGTGACTGACAGGGGCACATGGCCTCCTCCGAGGATCGTACCCCCTCGCTGAACCAACGCCAAGATTTAACGAATAAGTAGAGAACACCCGAACTAAAGACTTAATGTGTTAGAATACACCTGGTTGGATGAGGCCCCATGTGCCTCAACGCCCCACCTAGGCGACGACTAACTTCCTGAACTTTCATACTTAGCGCTACCAGCAAAGGAAGCCAGCCTCCTGGGAGTGTTGCACTCGACCTCGTTGAAACAAGTATGAGGGGGTATGGGAGCTAGGCGAGCTTCAGCTTTGCCTAGGCCCCACGGAGCCAGACGAGCCTCAGCTCTGTCTCGACCACCCCCCAATAGAGCAGGCCTCTCTGAAGCTAATGCGCAGGGATACGGGAGCCAGGCGAGCCTCAGCTCTGTCTCGGCCACCCCTCAATACGGCAGGCCACTTCAGCCTCGCCGAAGCCAACACTTGGAAGATTGGAAGACAAGCGAGTTTCAAC